GGGACCACCTGCCTCTAGGGGAGGTTCCCCCTGCCTGTGGCAGGGGGGTTAGAACTAGATGATCTTCAATGTCCATTCCAACCCAAACCATTCTGTGATTCTATCAGGACACTAATGCTTAGTCTAGAGCTTATTAAATCCTAACCATCTCTCGTTCATCTTTATAAATACATTTTATACATTCTGCATACACTGTTTGCAGCTTCTCCCTATGCACACTGTCAGTTGCTCAAAATGGCCCAGAAATACCAAGGGATCCCTTATGCAAGGCAATGAAGTTGCCTTTGAATCCTACTGAGCTTTCTCAGATGTGTCCTATTGAGAGTAAGGCTGCTGTTAGTCCTGGGCTGTTCTTGGGGACAACATTGGCAGCCTTACCCTATGGACTTCTCTGAGTGGTTAGAAGACTGTTAAGCATTAGTCAGTCTGTCTCCAAGCTGCATTGTGAAAACACCTGGTTAAATGTTTGCTCTTCACCCCCTCTTTTTTTTTCCTGCAAATACTTGCCTCTTTCTCGTGTGTTTCCCCCTTGTCTTAAAGCTCTTCTCAGTCTGGAAATATCACTCATTACTTATAATCACAGGCTGTTCTTTTAAGCAGGAGTCCAAAATCTCGCCCTCTCTTACAGAAGGACTGAGTTCATGCATATGTCCTGACTTTGTGACATTTACGTGGTTGAAATCTTCCCCTTAGGCTTTGCTGTCCTGATCCCAGGTTGGTAAATCAAGCAGTTAAAGTTTAAGAGATTGCAGATTAGTATTTAAAGATATGACATTTAAATTCAAATTACCACAAAATGACTACAATTTTGGTATGAAAAAAGCAAGCTATAAAATTGATGTATTAAACTCTGTAATTTTCTCTAAATTTTATGTTGAAACTGTATTTTCAATGATTTATGACGATACTTAATTTAATCATTCAGCATTTTCCAAAAGGTTTTGTATAAGCAAAGGATGCATCATTTCCCCAGGAGGCTGAATAGTTGTTAGAAGAAATAATTGCTTACATACTGCTCTATTCACATTTGGAGAAGTGTTCAAATTTCTGAAACAAATCAGAATTCAGAAATGGTTCAGATTTATCTATTTATTTTTCCCAAAACGTTTATGCTCTTGCAGCATAATTCCCAATATATACAATGTAAAATGCAAACCATTATTCTAATGGTTAAGCCATTTAACTGGAGTAAAATAAGAAGACAGAGATGCTGGTATCAAGCAGCAGTGTAACTACCTGTCAAAACAGTAGCCAGACTCTTCACTTGCTCTTTCCTGGCCAAGCACTTCTTACAGACAAGGCCGTATGAAGGTTCTCTGTCCTGGCTTGGTCCTTCTGGTCACTACCTCTTGCAAAGCTGGCTACGTTGTCCCTTGTTGCTACTCACCCTATTTGGCAGTCAGGTCACCTCAGGATACAGAGATTATGAAATCCAAATTATCCCACTATGGGCAAATTCTGTATACACTAGGCAATCTGGATAAACTACCTTGGTTTTGACTCTCTCATGTTTTAAAAGGGAAAGAAAATTTCTCTATATCACAGAAAGCAATTTTAAATAATTTTTTATATGTATCAGGGAACTGAACATTTCTCACTGTATTTCAGTGTATTGAATTAGCATTGCAAGGTTTTGGTAGCAGGGGGCTACAGGGGTGGCTTCTCTGAGAACCTGATGGAAGCTTCCCCCATGTCCGATAGAGCCAGTGCCAGCCAGCTCCAAGATGGACCCACCACTGGCCAAAGCTGAGCCCATTGGTTTTAGTGGTAGTGCCTTTGGGATAACAGAGATAAGCAGCGGGGGGAAAGCTGTGCAACAGCAACTGCAGCTAGAGAAAGGAGGAGTAAGAGTACGTGAGAGCAACAACTGCAGACACTGAGGTCAGTGCAGAAGGAGGCAGAAGGTGCTCCAGGTGCCGGAGTAGAGATTCCTCTGTAGCCTGTGGTGCAGCCCACAGAGACAGGATGTGCCCTGCAGCCCAGGGAGGTCTATGGTGGAGCAGATTTACACCTGCAGCCCAGGGAGGACCCTACACTGGAGCAGGGGGATGACTGTGATACTGTGGGCAGGGTCCTGGCAGGACCTGTGGCCCTGTGAAGAAAAGAGCCCACACTGGGGGAGGTTTGCTGCAGAACTTGTGACCCCACAGAAGACACATGCTGAAGCAGTCTGTTCCTGAGGGACTGCACCCCATGGAAGGGACCCAATGCTGGAGCAGTTCATGAAGAACTGCAGCCCATCGGAAACTCCCACAAGAAGTGCTCGGAGAGCTGTCTCCAACGGGAGGGACCCCACACTGGAGCAGGGGAAGAGTGTGGGAAGAAGGAGTGGCAGAGACAAGGTGTGAGGAACTGACCACAGCTCCCATTCCCCATCCCCTGTACCACTTAAGGGAGGGGTAGAGAAACTGTGAGTCAAGTTGAGCCCAGGAAGATGGGAAGGATGGGTGGAAGGTCTTGTAAGATTTAGTTTTACTTCTCATTACCCTACTCCAATTTTGACTGGCAATAAATCAGTATTTCTCCAAGCTGAGTCTGTTTTGCCCCTGATGGTAATTGCTGAGTGATCTCTCCCTGTCCTTATCTTGACCCATAAGCCTTTGGTTGTATTTTCTCTCCCCTGTTCAAATAAGGAGGGCAGTGACAGAGCAGCTTTGGTGGGCACCTGGTGTCTAGCCAGGGTCAATCCACCACCTTCAAAAGAATCTCTGATATAATTTCCCTTGGGCCACTTCTGTCCAGCTGGTTTGTGTCTCCTTCCTTTTACCTTTCTCAAGCACCGGCTGGTTTAAGCCCTACTCTAAAGTGCCTCCTCTCTCCATTTATTACACAGGGAATACAGACATTAGCAACTTTAGGGTGCTGCAGCGCTGAGTATCCAGGTTTGTCTTCATATGCAGCCCAGTTTATCTGTAAACAAACAATATCAAGAGCAGTTTTGCATTGTAGTAGTCAAATTTATTTCCACTGTAGAAGCACACTTGTTTCAGTAATAAAAAAATAACATTTTCTTAGCAGAATAAAAGTAATCCTGTAGTGGTATAAATATATTTACTTGCACAAGAATCCACATAAGTCACTCAACATATATTCAGATTTAGTATTCTCATAGTCCTAAGTTTCAAATGGAGTCAACAAAACATAGCACCTCGCAGAAAGATAAGAAATGTAAAGTCTGGCTCAGTTTGGATTTGAACATGTATGAAATAATAGAGAGCTTCATTTTTTATAAATTACTATTTTAAATGACTACATTGCTTATGAAAAAAAAATTCTGACAGCCTTCAGCACCAAACATTTCCATCTGTCTACTTAAAAGCATACTATATGGTGTCAGCCACAGAAGCCTCTTTTGGCTGCCTCACAAATATGACCTCAGGGCTGGCCAGGCAGAACTAACAAGAGTGTTCTGCCTCTCCACTCCCAGGACTCCCATCACTAGGTACTGTCTTTCAAGGAACAAACCAGGTCTAGCAATTTACTCCAGGGAGTCATCACAGACATCAGACAGCATGCCTGGTCAGTCAGTGAGTCCCTATGCTATACCAAGACAGATGCTGTGTTCCAGCCTGGTGCAACCAACAGTCCAGCTTACAGTAGGTATGGTTGATATGTAACTTTATCTAGTATGAGTATTTCATGCAAAATGAAGAATACTGTTTTCTGCAATCCCATTCAGTTCAAGCCATGGAACAACAGTAAACACAACTGCAGTGAATTTATCTTGTACTTTAACCTTTAGGTAATTCTTTAACTCTTTTTCCAATTGTGGGGCTGGAAAAAAAACAAATGGGGAAATTAAGTTTAACGAATCAATCGCATCACAACTCTGTTATTGTGTCTAACTTACTGTGTGGGCTATCATCAGCACCATGTCCTCACAACATATGTTGATTTGTTCTTATCCTTTCTTACCGTTAGTACAGTGAAAAAAGTACAATGTTCAGCCTTGCTTCTTCTCAACGTGTCTATGAGAAGAGGACATCAAACTAATACAACACAATACTGAAGACAAGAGAAGATAACACTTAGTTCTGATACACTGAAAAGCAACTTCACACATAAGCGCATTTATGTAGGCACACAGACATATTGAGCACCATTCTTTTTCTTTTTTTTTTTCTTTTTCATTTTAACATCAACATTCAACTCTGAACAGAAGAATGTTTCACCACTAGGGTGACCTCAGTATTAAGAAAAGAACTACCTCTATTTTAAAACATCAAAATGCTAACATTGACACTTCCATTGAGAAGTTCACTGCAAGTGACCCTCTCGCTGAATTCGAAGGCGCTCCTTCTCCACTTGCAAGCGTTCCTTCTCAATCTGCAGCTTCTCTGACTCAAACTTCAGGAACTGCAGCCTCTCTTTCTCTAACTGCAAACGTTCTTTTTCAAGTTTTAGCTTCTCAGTTTCTAGATCCAGTGGCTGCATGATGGGTTTTTCTGTTTGGGTGAGGTCATTTTCCAGGGCAGGCTTTTCAGCATGCAGTCTCTCTAGCCTGAGTTTCTCCCATTCAATCTGAAGCCGCTCCTTCTCAATCTGAAGTCTCTCACGCTCCACGTCAACATGCCGCAACCGTTCTTTTTCGATTTGCAGGCGCTCCTTCTCCACTTGCAACCTTTCGGCTTCAATATCTAGTCGCTGCTTCTCCAGCTCCACCTTCTGCTTCTCCAGGTTTATAAGCAAGTGAGAATCTTCATAGGCTAGCCTAGCTTGAACAGAGCTTAGACTTCCAAACTCCTCAATCTGGGGGAACTCTGGTAAGTCATTTTCCTTTTTTGAATCTGGCAAAACTGATGACAAAATTTCTTCTTCTTCCTCAATAGGAAACTGCAGAGAGGAATACAACAGGTAAGAATTATATTACAGTCTTCATGCCAGAATAAATTTCTTATACACAACTGAAAAGAAGATACTGTTTTTTTCCATCTTCAAAGCTACTCAGAACTTTTTAACTCACATGCTGTAAAATAACCATGCTAGATCAAATGACAGTTTTCTATCATTACACGGGTAGAAAAACTCACTACAAGTTAGTATCTGATAATGAAAAATGTTAAACCAGCTTGTTAGTGGACATGCTAGAACATACAGAAAATACTGCACAAGAGAGATGACAGAGCATTCAGAACCACTGACAGAAAACTGGTTCTAAAAACACATATGTTGTTATTTTTCATATAACTGAATGGCATTTATGTAAGCCACTAGGAATTTGTGACTAATTATTTATAAGAGCAGCTGGATCCATAAGCTGTGTGTTGTGTAAGCTAAGCCAACCTTTACTAATTTGAGGATTTCATTTCTAAAAAACATTCAACACTGACATTCTTCACAGGCTCCTAACCCCCCCCAACTGTATTATGTGGGTCAATAAACAGGACTTGCTTAACCAATTTTGTATTATCACACTTCCTATAAAGCTATTTATGATGCAAGTGACTAGGTGGTTAGGACCATTGCTCTTGACAGACTGCAACAACTCATGTAGAATTATAGCCCTTATGTACTACGAATTCATAGTACACAAGGGATTATCATCTCCTACGAAAAATGCTGCAAAAGAAAGGTAAACTGAGGAAGATAGTTCAGAAAATCTTAATGAGAGGCGATGCCAGTCCTCTAGCATTACAGCAGACACTCTTTTTCAGCAGTTGTCAGTCAGTAGTCTCACAGCCATTTAACAGCTTATGCTGGTTTCTTCCCAGCACATATCTCAACTGAATGAACAGCAACTGCTACTTCCCCCTTCCTGATGTGTTGTGTCCCTGCTCCCTCCCCTGCCTTGCAACAAAACCCAAACTGGTTGAGCACCACTTTTTCAAGTGAGACCTGTATATTAGTACAGGTACTATCCAAACATTTAACTTCACTCTACCTGGTTGCCTACCTCAGAATTCATGATACTACTAGAAGTAACAACCTGTCTATATGACCCATAGCTGGTTGTCAAGTGCACACTAAAATCTGAGAGGGAGGAATGGCCAACTGATCTATTCAAATAATGTCTTCATTTCCTGTTGGTTAATTTTAAGAAATGCAAACAGTATTCTATGTCTTTCTGTATTCTATTTCTTTCTGTACCTGCAAGTATCATATACTTTGATTTGTTAAAGAGGTGCATTTCTTTTCTCTGTTCACCTATCCAGACAACCTAAGTATTAAAATAACCAGTTTCCTTCAACAGCATATTTTCCTTCTAGTGACTGAACTAATTCTCACATATGGCATATACAAATGGAAAATATGTGCAAATACATATTCAAAGTTGAGGGATATCAATTTCATAATCAACATCCAAGACATTACACACAATTGCAAGTTGCTAGAATTGAATACCATCTCTCTGAAACATATTTGTTTCTACAGTTTCTTTAATTCACACATCCAAAAAGAAACAGAAACAGATGCTATGAAGAAACACAGCAAAAAGCCGTCTGCTGAAATGAAATGAAGGCCCTTAGCACATAGCTAATGCATGTCAGTCACTCACTTCAAAATTCTGTGGATCCTCCTCTTCCTCTTCTACTTTGATTTCTGTTAAAGATCCACCGGCTTCTCTGAAGTCAGTGATATTTTGCCATTCAAAACTAGATTCAATTGCAAATCCCATTTTCTCATCCATGTCTTCATTGAGAGAGTCATCTAAATTGGATGAAGGAAGGTGAAACCCAGCACCTACTACTTTGATGTTTGCATTCAGACGTTTTCTCTTCATGAGTGCTCTCCAGTCAAGGTATCGCCTTTTCACTTCTGTCCCTGTTCTTTGCTCTCCTTCACCTACAGCATTTACACACTCTGCTATTTCCTCCCAAGCTTTTCGTTTCAACTCATTAATTGTTGTATTAAGTTGCTTTGAAAAGAGTACTTCTCTCCTTTTCCTGATTTCCTTAAGTAGAGTTTGAGTTTCCTGAACGCTAAAATTGCTTTTCCTTTTTCTTTTTAATTGTTTCATTTTTTCCAGCTTTAACCTAATAACTTCACCACAGTAGCCTAGAGATGATTTGACACTAATCAGTTACTAATACAAATAAAATTTAAAAGCCAATGAAAGCAGAGCTCAGTTCTCGTGAAGTGAATTTTCTCTTCACTTTGTAGTATTTTCCTATTTGTCAGGCTTCCTAAGAGAAAAAGAGCAAACAACATAAATCTCCAAGGTATACATTGTATATCTTCATTTAATGAACTTGACTCCCAAGTCATCATTTAAGGAATGCATATTTCAAACTGATCGTTCATTCAACAGAAGCAAACCATTTTGTTAAACTCTGGATATAAAGTAGCTATAGACACCTTCTGTAAACTCTTATGAATTATAAATCCATTAACATATCCATGTACCAAACCGTTAAGGTTGAGTTGATATTTCCATTACAAAAATACATCTATTTTCCTTTACCTCTTACAGTTTTGCCAGTCAGGATTTGCTTAAGGCTGAAATTTAACATACACATTCCAGTTTGAATGCTAAATTATTTCCAAAATAAACTGAAACTGTTACATTATTATTTCAGAAATATGAAATGTTCTGGGGACTGAAATTTCTGAGATACATTTTAAATTACACCATTCCCATAAAAAAAAAAAAAAAAAAAAAAAAAGTAGTAATATGAAGAGTTGTTCTGTAGACTCTTCTAACTCATCTTAACCACAAAAAAAAAAAAGAACTGGAGCAATTCTACTAAGTGTCAGAAAATAACTACCAGTTCAAACAAATGTCATACATTAGAGAAACAGATTAAGGAATGAGTCACTTAACATCCATGGTAAAGTCCTCCTCTATCCTTCTCACATTGCGAAACACCTCACGTCAGATGCGATGGCAAATGGAAAGTTCATCCAGTCCGCTACCGCCAGCAATAGCTGGTGCTGTGTCTGATGCTGAAGAGAAAGCTAAACCCCATAATGGTCCATCCTAGCATTTAATTTGCATTTTCTTGTGTACCACATTACCTACCAATTTAAGAAGGTTTAAAAGGCTTTAAACAAAGTAGGCCAACCATTTACTATACAGTACTTAAAGTTTCAAGCTGTTATATTTGTTCACTATTAATCTAGTATAGACTTTTTGTCTACCTGAAGCAAATGGCTTGAAGATTACACACTCAATTGCTACCAACTAATGGACTTAATCCTTAACTCCTCCCCAGCTACACAGGATACTTAAATTACTAGGTATTTTTTTCTCCTGATATTCTCCTAAACTTGGTTAAAACACACACAACAGCACATTACACAAAAACTCTCCATTTGGGGGATAATGCACATAATAGTTCAGACATAGTTCTTGATCTATTCACTACTGACTGTAAGTAAGTGGTTCACTTGCAACGTTTCCCATATGAGGCAGCATTCTTTCACTCGTAACACATAAGCATATTGGCATTAAGTATTTTTTAAAAGTGGTACTTAGGAAACTGTTTTACTACTTTTCCTTATTAAAATATTGCCCTCACTGTGAATCCATTTACTTCTGATGGCTACCAGCTTGCAAATTTGCAAAACCTAATCCCCAGATGTCAACTGCATAAAGCGTTGCATGAGCTTGTATCAGCATTGACCACTCTACATGTTCCCATGCACTTCTAACTCCTCAGATACAAGTTGGAAGCTGGATGTTGCTGTTTAAGATGTGTGAAACTTCCTGCCCTTCCGAAAATAAGATAATGATTAGTCTTGAGAAAATGGAATTATTAAAATAAATAATATAACCTACTGTTTTAATGTAGACCATTGGCATGACCAGAACTGGAAAAAACCAAAGCTGCTGTTTAAGAAGTCAGATTTATGACAGAACACAGCACTGTATCTGCTGGAATTAACACCAAATTGTTCTGAGACCTTTAATCTGATCTCTATGTGTCTCTCTTAACCTTCATTATTATGAGTTTACCACAAAAAGATACTTGGTTTTTCAAGGAAGCAGCATTATATTTACTTGCCTGGCAGTAAATAAATTTATTTGGTACTTGCTGTTCTTTTCAAATGCCTGTTACAGCATTAGCGCTTTTCTACTATTGTGGCAACTGAATTGCTTGTCCTATGCATCGATTACTTTAAGAAAAAATAAAATTTGAAGAAGTTGCCAAGCAGGCAATTCTTTGGAGAAGTTACCTGCACACAGAACACTTTCAGATGCTTCACCGTTAATAAGGCAATTTTTCTGGACTGATAAATGTATAGATTGAAGCTGCAATTCCCGGTTACTGGGGAATGACCAAGTACTCCTGTCATCACAGTGACTTTAGAAACACGCACATTTGCACCCACCTGTTTTCAGGATGAGGAGTGTGTGTGAAAGAGTCACAGGTATCCATTTTGTCTTCCATATAAAAAGAATTACATGGAGTTCTTGCATCCTAAGTTTCAGAAGAATTAAGAGTATTTTTGACTTGTCATACCAAGACACTCAACCTCCATTTATAAGGTCACACTTATTTTTACTAAAATCAGTAGTATTTCGTATTTGATTTTATGCCGTGTACTTAAGTGAACATTCAAGTACTTTTCTAATACGGAAAAATGGGTAAGACTTTCCAAAGTACTTGCCAGTTGGATATATCAAACTCTTGAAGATACTAGTAGATACTTAATTGTCTCTTAAGGTACCTAAATGTCAGACTTTTGCTGAATCACAGCCATTTTCATCTCAAGATACACATTGGCTAAGTCCTTTCCTTAGCCCCTGCTGGGATTAACAAGGCTCTGGTCATTCCCCAGTAACAGGCAACCACAGGATTTGAGAGACTCATATGGTATCTCTATTTGGCCTAGCCCTCCGTAAATTTCTCAGTGCTAAAACAGCAGGATAAAGTGGGCACAAACAAAAAACAAAGTGTTTTCGAATCAAACTGTCCAGAGCATTATTTTCTAAATACAATTCTCCATGAATGCAGGAGACCCAGCCAGCCAAGCTTTTACCTTGGCTCCAGAGAAGGTTCAGAGTTAAACCACAGAAATGTCAGGTCACCCTGTGGGTCAGTCTTGCTGCTCCTTGCACAGGTGGTGTGCATCACCGCTCTGATCTCCCCAGGCTCTCTCTGTGAAGTGCCAAATCTTGGGTTTGGATTTTATGCCATAAGCCAAACACATAACCTTTAAGAATTATAATACTAACTTGGAAACTACTGGAGTCCAATCTCTTTGTTATGTGAAGTTTTGACAATCCCCCCCCAAGAACATGTTTAATACAAGCCCCTGAATTTCCCAGTAAAAGGGCAGCGAAATCTTCCTATTTCAAAATTCACGACTAACTTTGAATTGGTAAGGACATCTTACCTTTTCTAATTCTTTCCTTTTTGAAAGCATATTGCCTCATTAAAGAAAATTCCTTTCTTATTAACACAAACAGATGTTAATGAATTGCCTTAACAGTATATTGACTTCTCCTTAGATCAACTCCACTGTGGGATTGTTTACCTTTCTAATATATTAACTCTAAAGCATTATTATCTTACTAAAGCTGAAGTTTGCAGTATTCTGTTTTCTGACATTGCTAGATGGTCTCCAGGATATTACTCCTTACATGTACAAAGTACATAAGGGGACAGGAATGGTAATAAGCTAGAATTTGTACACATTATAGCTAAGTTACAGGGAAAAAAACCCAACAAAAAACAAAACCAACCAAAAACCAGCAACCCCAAAACAACAAAACAAACTATTACCATTTTTAAAACTGTGATTTAAAAAACATGACACTGTTCTGAACTTGGCTGGGATAGAGTTAATTTTCTTCCTAGTAGAAGGTGGTACAATGCTGTGTTTTGGGAATAATGCTGATATCACACTGATGTTTTTACCCTAAGTCAAGGACTTTTCAGTCACAAGGCTCTGCCAGTGAGGAGGGGCAGAAGAAGCCGGCAGAAAACAGAGACAGGACACCTGACCGCAACTGTCCAAAGGGGTATTCCATACCATAGCAAGTCATGCCCAGTATATAAACAGGGGAGTCACCTGGAAGGGCAGATTGCTGCTTGGGTTGGGCTGGGTATCAGTTTCTAATATATTAACTCTAAAGCATTATTATCTTACTAAAGCTGAAGTTTGCAGTATTCTGTTTTCTGACATTGCTAGATGGTCTCCAGGATATTACTCCTTACATGTACAAAGTACATAAGGGGACAGGAATGGTAATAAGCTAGAATTTGTACACATTATAGCTAAGTTACAGGGAAAAAAACCCAACAAAAAACAAAACCAACCAAAAACCAGCAACCCCAAAACAACAAAACAAACTATTACCATTTTTAAAACTGTGATTTAAAAAACATGACACTGTTCTGAACTTGGCTGGGATAGAGTTAATTTTCTTCCTAGTAGAAGGTGGTACAATGCTGTGTTTTGGGAATAATGCTGATATCACACTGATGTTTTTACCCTAAGTCAAGGACTTTTCAGTCACAAGGCTCTGCCAGTGAGGAGGGGCAGAAGAAGCCGGCAGAAAACAGAGACAGGACACCTGACCGCAACTGTCCAAAGGGGTATTCCATACCATAGCAAGTCATGCCCAGTATATAAACAGGGGAGTCACCTGGAAGGGCAGATTGCTGCTTGGGTTGGGCTGGGTATCAGTCAGCGGGTGCTGAGCAATTGTATTGTGCATCGCTTGTTTTATTCATCTCTCTCTTTTTGTTATTTCCCTTTCCATTACTGGGTTTTTTGTTTTGGTTTGGTGTTTTTTTTTTTTTTTTTTTTTTTTTTTTACTTTTCAATTATTAAACAGTTCTGATCTCAAGCCATAGGTTTTACCTTTTTCTGATTCTCATCCCCAACCCACCAGGGGGAGTAAGCAAGCAGCTGCATGGTATTCAGTTGCAGGTTAAACCATGACAGCATATTCAAGTTTTGCTTTGATATTAAGTCTAAAACATGAAATGCATACAGCTGAGAAAAAACATAGTAGACAGACATTATTGGTTTTCTGAACTCAGAACCATAACTGCTCTACAATTTAGTGTCTTTAGCAGAAGATTCCACGACAAATTATATTTGCTGAGTACACCAATTGGGAAGATGCGCAGTTTACTCAGAACGTATGTCGAGATAAAAGCAGAGGTGAAAAAAAAAAATCTTATGGTCAGATCGAGCAACTTACACCATTATGAAAGCAAGAGAAGA